GTTTCTTTCGCAATGTATATCTATCATTATACAAATAAATAAAGAAATGATGTTTACCTACAAAAAAAAAAAAAAAATAAAAAATAAATTTTTAATATAATATACAATAATTATTTAATATAATTGATATATAATTAAGTAAGTATAACTACTTTAAGAATTAAATTCATAATAAAATAATTTATATTGAATGTTGGATATGAAATTCACAAGAGAAAAAATATAACATAATTACTTTTTTTTAATAGAAAAAACATTCAATCTGTTCTTATTATTGTTTTTTTATTTTAGATATTATATTACTTTTAAGTGAGGAAGGCTTGAATTAATTAATTGTTTTTAAGGATAAAATATTTTGCAAATAATTTCCGAGGGAAAAGGTTAAATCCCTGTAAATAAGGAAGCTGCGACTTTGTAGACAATCCAAGTATCGTCTTTTTTGTCTTTTCTTGGTAAGCAAAAGCTGCGGGTCGAGAAGTGAGCTGCGGAGAACATGTCACAATGTGGCTGAAGACCAAAATGACTAAATGCGCAACAAAATTGGTTTGGTTACATTTTCAATGACGAATTTTATTTATATCACATGATCATAAACTCCGGACTCTATCTATATATATATGGTCTGCCTCTGAACATTTTCAGAAAATAAGCCTCCACATAACATAAATACATTAAAAGACATATTTATTTAATGAAATGGCACCAAACGATACCATTCTCGTGAAGGGGGATGACGCAGCGGAGAAAGTCAAGCAACAAATGTTGCTGTCCCTCCCGCCGGAGATTCTGGGAAAAATATTTCTCTTGACATCGCTTCAAACACGGACAAAGGTTCTTTCGAGCGTGTGCGAATCTTTAAATTATTTCATATTTAATCATGACCTTTTGTGGTCGAAATTGAATTTAAACGCAATTAAAAACATCACCGATACAACTATTCCGTTGATATTTAATAACAATTTGCCTTACAACACTCGACTCTGCATTAGAGAATTATACTTGAACGATGTTTCTATTACAATTGAAAGTGTCCGGGTAGTTTTAAAGAACTGCCCAAATTTGAGAAGCCTGCACTTGAGAACCGTGAAAGGTACCCTTGAGATGAGTTCCCTAAAACAATTGATTGAAGAATTGTTTTGTTCAGAAGAAGAAAAATCGGAGCGAGTTTCACAGGAAGACGTAAAAAACAAATCTGATGATTTAGACGATACGCCAGAACCCACGGGGGATGAAATTGAGCATGCTGAGGTCGTTATAAATCAAAATGACGCAGTGAAAGTGACCGATAAGCCTCTTGAAGTATCTCGAGCTGATCATCCATGTCAGCTTCAGACAATTTATTGGTACCTTGATCATGACGAGTGGGTTTGGTGGTCACCAGAAGAAAAACCGAATCTTGAGAATATTTTAAGGAAAGTAACAAACAATCCGAAAGCATCAGTTCAAGTTCCATGGTGCGATTTTTGCAACAAGCAACAGGCCTGTATCCAGGTTAAGTGCACCGGAAAGCACTTTCGTAAAAATGAAAGAAATGAAAGAAATGAAATAAACTGGTTTTATTATGGGTGCTTTGAGTGCACGGAATTCGGTAGGATCACAGATTACAAATGTGATGCATGTATTGCGGACGCTTTGTCACAACAACAGACGCTAGACGCAGAAGAGACACAAGAGCAAGCTAGTAATGTACCCGAGGACAATATTGTTGAGAATGTGAATGTCGAAGATAACGACAATGTTAATAGGAACGCAGCAGATACTAATAATAATGGAAATGTAGCGGCGGTAATACCGAATACACAGATAGTAAATGCAAATGACAATGCACCTGAAGTTCGCAGTGATAACGATAATGGACGGGCGGTTGCACCACAGGTCCTACAGGATGGAGGAATAAATAGAAATGAGGAAATAGTACAGGCTGACGAGGACGGATATGTGGTCATCACAGAATTGCGCAATAATTCTACAGAAACTACACATGTCAATGACGATGACATTAACGATTCAACGTCCGTAAACCAGCGACCGATTGAAGAGGTTGAAGCTGAGAGTTCCACTCAAGCGAATGATATTTCGATGCCAGGTGAAAATGCCGGTGGAGGGATGGAGGGTAATACTAATACAGTTGAGAATAGCGGAGGAACATTTGAGGCCGAAATAGCGCCATACGATAATGAAAATGGGGAGACTTCAATACCGGCAGAAGCGATCACATTACCCGAGCATGTTGGAACGAATCATGCACAGGAGCTTGATGTATATTTCTGGTGGTAACCAGCGAGATTTTTGCGATTATGGAGAGACTTCTTTCCCTTCGATTATGTTAGATGTATTTTATTGAATTTTTACCTCAAAAAAAAAAAAAAAGAAGATAGAAAAGAAAAAGATCAGTTTCAATAGAAATGATCAATTATTTTTATTTCAAAAGAAAATTTTGTAATGCGGCTGTATAATTGTTTTTAACACGGTGTCGCTTTTATTTTATACACATATGGGATTTTTTATTCTGTAAATGATTTTTTTTTGTGTCAATTTTTGCGTATATAAAGCTTTTTATATAATACAAGACTTCATCATGTGGCCTCATGTGACAATATTGTATCACGTACTTTAAATGCATGCATGCAGTCCGAAGATGATCTACATTTGATCATCGGAAAAAAAAAAATATCATGATCAGAATTTCCTTCACTGAATCATTGAAGTAAAATGTCTTCTGGTCCCGAAGTCAGCGAACGAAAAATTCGTCCAATTTATGGTATTTATATTATGTTTCATTGATTTTTCCATTGACGCATAATTCATATCGATTCACCTAAATTCAGAGGCACTTGACAGTAATAATTACAAGTCGGCATTACAGCAATGTAATAAATTGCTTAAAAAACAACCGGATGCTCTTGTTCTGAAGGTATTGGATTAGTTTTTCTTCGGGCATCATCATAATGCGCGGATTTTGTAACATGACGTTCGACCGCAGGGATTAAAAGCATTGATACTTGAAAGGACGGGAAAACCCGAAGAAGCTTTGAAGCTTTGTGACGAAGTAAAGGAAGGAAAACCGATTGATGAACAGATTTTACAAGCCCTTACCATGGTTTACAAATCTTTGGGAAAATGTAAGCGTGATTCGTTCATCTTTATTGTTTTTCACGTAAATTCTGATCAAATTTCAACACCGTCTCGAAGTCGAAGAAATCGTTAAAATTTATGAGAATGCTACTGGCCTGAATCCCACCAACGAAGAACTTGGCAACCATTTGTTTATGGCAATGGTTCGAATAAATGACTTCAAGGGGCAACAACAAGTAATTACTTCACAATTGTTGATCGTTCTTCTCAATCGTGATTCTTATTCCTTGCATTCTTCCATAGGTAGCATTAAAGCTGCACAAGACTTTCAAATCAAATAAATATTTATTTTGGGCCATAATGAGTTTGTTATTGCAGGTAGAAAACTTGGGGAACTATCGCGTCATCTTAATGACATGTACTGTCGACTTGACCTTACCATTATACCTTTAGGCTGAGAACGCGCCCTCTGGTCAGTCCGGTATTTTATTATCGCTGGCTGAGCGCATGATGCAGAAAGCCGTCCAGGAAGGGAGATTGAAACACACAGAAGGTTAATCAAAATACGATGCAATTAATCATATCTCTTTGTCTTGGTAATAATTATTAATTAAAATTAATCGCAATTCAATAACAGAGGTTCATCTTTATCTAATTGTGCTTCTGACACAGAACAAATTTGAGGAAGCGTTAGAAGTGGTAACAGGGAACCTTGGAAAAATGTGCAAAGGAGACACTGAAATAATCCGTATTTGGAACGAATTACTCATCAAAACGGAGAAATGGACCCAGGCTAATGAGTTGAGCAGGAATTCGCTCACTGAAACGAAGTTGGTAGATTGATTACTTTGGCGTTCTTAATATGCAGATATTCTGATTTATCGTTTCACGAATGCAATATAATTTGAAATATCATCAATCTCATTTATTTAGTCTTGATGATTGGAGGAGCTATTTGACATATCTCGATTCTTGTTTACACCTGTTGTCTAAATCTTCAAGCGACGAAAATGATGTGAGGTCTGCTTCAAATTGATTAATCAACCAAGTTATGGCATCACTCAATGGTTATCATCATATTATTGATCCCTGTTTGTTTATTAGTTTGGAAGATGCTCGCAAATTTTTGTATTCCTTGCAAGAAACTGTAAAAAAAAATTCGGAATACAAACGGGGACCTTTCCTTGCCGAAATGGAGTTGGAAAAGCGTGTAACCACAGAACTAAATGGTTGTGCAAAATATTATTTTAGACAAACAATTTTCTAGCTCATTGAATTAATCTCGCGTTTACATGTCATTAGGGAAACCAGCAAAGGAGATCGACTTGCTGGTTGTCGATTACTTCAAAATATTTGGTGCCAAAGCGTGTTGTTTTGAAGATTTGCAACCATATCTGAAAGCTATTCCAAATGATCTGGCCAAAAAGATAATAAAAGAAATCAAAGCCACGATCGACGATTCGAGTGACGACGAGAAGGTTTTGTATCTTTCTGATTTCTCCTTTAATAATAATTGTTTTTACTGAACAAGACGCACATTATCCATTAGTCAAAGATATCAAATATTCAAAGAAATGTCAACGTTTATAAGCTTGAAAGATTTCTCGGTTTGCTCGCAGAATTAACTGAAGATGATGTGTTATCATATGTCAATAAACTCTGGGCTCTGTATAAGGATACTCTACAATATGGTAAAAGGAAAAGAATTGTATAACTGACTTGAAGTAGATGGTTGTTAGCAAATTTGGGGTTCTAATTTATTTTTTTTTATTGCAGGCGTAAATATAACTGAAACAGAGAATCAACATGGTGATGAATGTGTTATATTGGCCTCGCACGCATTATTCGACCTTTATACAAAAGTTGGTGAGTTACATGCTTGTCATCTATTTATGTCATCCGCTATTGTTTATAAGGAAACACTCACTTTTTTTTTTCTTTCACGTTCTAGGAAAAAACACCTTTATCATGCAAGCAATTTTACTGCTGGAAATGGCTTTGACTAAGAGCAAGCATAATTTCCAATTAAAATTGTTGTTGATTCGATTATATCAAATTGTTGGTGAGTTGGAATCGAACTTTCCTTTTATTTTCAGGTGTATCTCGAGTCACTTATCGACTTTAAAATATCACTTGGCAGGTATCTTTTATAGACAAGCAGATTTGTACAAGTCAATGGATTTCAAGCACGTGCAGCAGGATACCATGAGGTATATTGTGTTTACGTGAAAGTTTGAATGTCCATTATAATTGACGTCTTTTCCCTTCTTAGTCATTATATAGTTGCACGATCGTTCTCTAGCGGGTCCTTTGAGGAGGCGATTCAAGCATGTTATGACACCCAGTCAATATATAACAACAATCAGAGTGAAGTGAGAAATAAGTTTGATTTAACATGATGATTGTTTTTTCGGGGATCGGGCATTACTAATATTCGATGATCACGTAGACACCAGAGATGGTAGTTCAAGCATATAAATTTGCAACCTTTTCTAAGGTAAACGTTGTTATGTTATTCATTATTATTTATTATTTATTCATTGTTTGCATTCATTGTTTGCAATAAACAATCAATAGATCCAAGAATTCATAGCATTCTACAAGGAGCTTGAGAATTCTATTCAGAGGGCCCTTGTCGACAGAGAAATAATACGGCTCGAATTTTTGACTGCATCTAAAGTCACCGCAAATGGTATCATATATATCGAAGAGTTGGACGTGGCAGATCTCGTCTATGACGGTCCGTTGGTTTGGTTTTTTTCTTGATTATTTCTTTCTTTCTTTTGTTATTAATAGTTATCGATTTGTCGATCAGATGATTTTTATGAAGCACGTCGGGACAATAGAGATTTTTTAGTCATGCTTGATTGCAATCCGTTCGGCAAATCAACATTTGAAGAAGCTTCTAGAGTTTCACCAAAGCTTGATGTGAGTGTCTATTTATTTTGGATTAAGTGGTTATTAATCTGATTTTACCTTTGTTATGAATTACCTTATTACATTCCTAGAAATATTGGTTGAAGTTGTTTACGATTATACCACTTATTTTGAAAAGCATGCGTGTCGACCAAAATGTTGACACTATTAAAAAATTAGTTGGCGTATTGGAAAAGTTGGTAAATGATGAGATCAAAGATATCAAAAGTGTATGTATTTCTGATACGCCACCTTTTCTTTGTTCTCGTGTATGAATGTTCATGTGCAAATTTTCAATATTGGATATTAGGTAACTCTGGAAGAAAGGAACGTTGCACATACGGTGGTAAAACTGAGTCATCTTTACTTAATTATAAAGGAAATTTTGTCTGGACAAAAAGGTATTTATATATAACAATCTATGTTCATAAAATAATCTTTGAAAAGACTTAATTTATTTTACCGATTTATTGAAGAATCTGCAGAGAAAATAACCTCCTCCGTGGATGCTCTTCTCGGTGCATTAAAGGGTAATGTGTAATTAGATTACCTTTTTATCACATAACCTGATGCATTTGCTTATTCTGCTTTTACCTTTTAGCTGTTCAACCCCCTGACACCTCCCAGCTGACCGCAAAAGAGTTATCGTGGGTTCACTTTCATAGGTTCTCATTATTTCTTGAGGTCAGATCAGACTCAAATTTCTGTTTTTGATTGCTATGGTGCCGTGATGATAAGTTTGTTTTTTAAATACAAATATATATATATATATGTTTCTAGGCGTGCAATTACGTGAAAATTGTTAACCAAATTATACATGACATGATTGGCCCCAAAAACAAAAAGTCGAGCCATAGAGAATTGGTAAGAATTATGCATTACAATCATTTAGTTGCATTATGTTGGTTTTTTTTTTTGACCTTTTCTCCACAATAATTCTTGATAGACTAAAATCACGCAAAGTCTGAGCATAGCGATCAAGGATCATATTCAGCACTTGAACAAACAATTAATAAATCTTCAAAGTAAAGTCGAAGGCGAAAATACTGCTCTTTACATCTTTGATTATATTAAGGCAGGGAAGCACATCGAATTTTGTTCAGCTGAGGTATTTCAAAAATTTTCTATTTTTCATCTAATCTTTTAATTTTAGTTTCCGATTTTTTCTTTTTACATTATGTTTCATTATATTTACTTTTGAATGACTTTTAAATCTGAAATTTTATAATTCTTTTTTTCAGGAAAACATATCTGATATTCTATTATTCCTAAACAAGATGGAAAATAGTTGGACAGCAAGCCTGAAAGCTTTAATTAAAGAAACTGAGGCTAGAATTGTTGAATCTTCACACTAGCAAATGTGCAGAAAAACATCTATTTAATGACCACTTAGATTTCACTCTTTGTAGGATTTATCTTATGTATATTGTTTATATACTTATTACCTTTTTATTTATCTTTTTATGGAAAAATTCTGAAATTTTTTGAAACTCATGTTGAATAAATTTGAATATTGAATATGTTAAAATTTTTGTATATAATGAGAACATAGAAATTGTGTTATATTAATGTAAGACGCGTCTCGTCTTCAAGTACTCGCGGATATCACATCATTTAAATGATATCTATGTATTGCCATTTTCAATGCCCTTGCAACCATTCTAATTATCCTCATCAAATTTCTCATTTAATAATTTAACCTCGCAAAACACAAAGCCTTCTTTTTGAAGATCTCTTTTTAATAATTCTATCTGCATCATCTCCCTCTTACCATTATAAGCTTCATCTTTTTCACTCCAATGTTTAAAATGAGAACCATCAGAATCTTTGGTAACAACATTTCCGTCATCACCATCACCATTCCATAATCCGACAATTGCGCCTCCGGATCCGGTGAATTTGGCGGCAAATCCATGCATGTTTGCTAACTCGATCATCCTAAGGCTTTTTGCATCAATTGCTTTATCATATATTTCTTTCCTTAAGTTGAAATTTTCGGTCATCAATGATGCCAATTGCTTGCGCTTTAAGAATGAATTATGGGAAGAATCCAACAATAGCTGTCGCGCCCTTTCTGCTAGCGACGCAAACTTTTCCATCGCGTGAATCACCTACGATAGTACCGGAATGATTGTATAAAGAAAGTAAACAGACGATCGATAGATAATTTGTAAATAAAAGAAATTAGATGGACACCTTCTGATTTCCTGATTCGTATCTTTTTCTTACATCGCTATGAATTTTGCCTATTTCACTTCAAGATCAGTATCAGACATTTCATTTCTCAAACTGGCCTTCTAGAAACTTCCGCTTACCCGAGTCACTGGGATTGATATCATAGGCAATCCACAATCCCTTAGGCAGCAAATTTTCGTCAATCCTTTCGTACTTTCCAATACCGTTGTTTTTGAGCATCATTTCTTTCTCAAAGTCCATGTACATCAATCCGCCGTAAGTTTGGATAACCCGATCTTGCAGTCCTGCATTGATCCCCAACTCAACTTTTTCTACGTCCAGTATCAGTTTTGCTTGTAATGATAACGCGATCTTGGCGTCATCAATGCAATAAAATCTCATCATCCCTTTCCAAAATGCTGTGATTATAGCAGAAGATCCTGCAAGACCTACTTGCCTTGGTATATTTGTTTCCAACAAAATTTTGAAACCCTGATTATGAAGAGAAATGTTCTGACCGCGACAATGTGTATAGAATACTTTACAGGTTGCATGCAGTAAGATATCGGCATTTGAGTATCTTTCTAATGAAAAAATACTTGCTAATGATTGTATACTTGAAAACGATGTTGCGGTGAATGTGAGGGAAGGAAGGAAAGCGATCCTAGAGTACTCTTGTGCGTCAAGGATTTTATTAGGGATTAAAGTAATTTCGGCGAAAAAATTCGAAATTAAAAGGGAGATGGTTTTTCCATAAAATCCATCCGAAGGATTTCCCATCAATCCTATGCGAGCATATGAACGTGTGATAATTGGGTCTGACCGGCGTTTTGTGGGATGGATCAAATATTGTCCTAACATCTGATCCAACGAGTATCGAAAGGTTGATAGATAACTGGAAAGATCCAAAATAGGATCTTTCCATTTAAAGAGGCGAATGTTGGATAAGCTAATTATTTTCGCACAATGATTCTGATGAATCACGAATTTTAGAAACTGTTCTATATCATCACCGAACTTACATCCGACAACAATTGACCTCTTGGACATCGATAATAAATATTGATCGATTAATGACAACACATTTTGACCAAAAACACACGCCATCAGACTCGAATCGTCCACGTCCCAGACTCGGAATTTTTCACTCAATTCATCTGAAAGATTCTTCGACAAAACGAATTCTTTCTGATGAACTTCACCCGAAATTGAGTTATTACAAAAGATAATCTTGTCACTTCCATCATCATCAAATAACATGTTTGTAAAGTGAACGTCTCTGACAGGGTCAAAAAGTAATTCTGCTTGCACGATTATTGTCTTATCGTTCAAACTTTTGACCCGACTAACTAATTCGACGTTAGACAAAAAGCTCTGGCTTTAAAGGGTACAAAATTGCGCATTGGATCTTTTAAGGATATGTGGTTTAATTTTAGGAAATTTCAATTTACTTACAAACTTACTTTTCTTCATGGCTGGTGTCACCATTATTGAGAATATTATACTTTGGAATGTAGTTACAATCTGCCCACCTTAAATATTTAGAATAGCTTATACATAAAAAATAAATGCGGCTTAGTGAGTGTAGCTACGAGAACTCATTGGCTCGCTTTAAGAGGGGCACTTACTTATGGGCATTAGTAACGAGATAAATTTTCCCACCGATCTTATTTTTCAATTCATCGAACCACCAGTTTATTGCTGGTTTCCCAGAGATTGGCAGCAAAGGCTTTGGCATGCCATGCAACGAAAGTATTTCCGGGTCATTAAACTCTTTCTATTTTTCAGCAACAACAAGGAACAAAGTTTGACTCCTATATCGAATTTTTGTTTCGCCAATTATAAAAAAAATGGTGAATGAAATATTTCATTGATGTTACATTTATTTCGCACTCAAGCTTTGACGGCAGAGAAGTAGCTAATATAATTAGATTATACATTTCAACTATCCTATCGCATATGCTGTACAGTACTGTATACGGTATTTTATTTTTTTAATTAGAAAAAAATACGGTCATGTGAATCAGCATAAGATAAATTCAAATAAAAAATATCGTAAATATTCTAAATACTTATAATGTTTTATTTTCCCAATTATTATTTCGAATTTTATAATTATAAAGATTTTTATAAAAATTATATATATATATATTCATAACATTAAAATTTCAAATAAAATTATTATATATATTTTTATATAATAATAAATTTAATATATTCAATACTTAAAAAAACTCTTTTTTACTTATCTCTACTTTATCAAAAAACTTTCTTTTTAGAAAATTTTTTCTCTTCTCTCCTTCACTTTTCTTTTTCTATCAAAGATAAGAGCTTGTAATGGGTTAAGTCTAAGATGTGATATTATACAAGACTTTTTTAACTGTTTAGCAGTATATTTAGAAAAAGTATTCAGGTTTAAAGAAGTGTAAACAGATCAATTTCTATATATAACAGCAGTCCAAGACAAGAATTAGAAAGGTTTGAAACTGCCAACCTTTTCTTTGTATATGTCTGATAATCACAAACATAAGAGCAATTTGTTTTTTTTTTCTTGTTTTTTTTTTCTCTTTCCTTTAAAGATTTTCTTTTTAGATCTTTTTTTCTTTCTTCTATATTCATTTCATTAAACTTCTAATTTGTTATTATTCTATCTTCATTAAGCTATTAACTTTACTCAAGCTAAATACTTTTTAAATAAGAAGTGTAAACTTCTCATCAAACTTCTTTCTTTGTCTTAAAAAGTTCAACTCAGAAAAAACCAAAATAACATTTCTTTGATTGAAAGATTAGAATATAAAGGTGACAAATTATTACTTTATCAAGGTACTAGGTATACTTTTCTATAATTAATAATCATATGCCTGATTAATTAAATAGAAAAAAAAGATTATTGAAAGTGACAATTCAATTGGCAATACTAATTGTATAAAGATTTGTTTTATTAAGAGTTTAGATTGCTAACCAGTATATTAGAAACTTATAATTATTAAAAATTCTATTTTTAATATTTGACAAAATCATCATTTCATTATTATTTAAAAGGGATAACCATAAAACTGCTTTCTTGTTTTATCTAGCTTTCAAATTTTCCAAATAAAAAACCATAAACAACTTACCTTTATCAAAAGATTGATGTAAGTTAATTATATTATATTGGTATCTGAATCACTAATTTGAGCAAGACTGATAACTCTTATTTATATTCCATTTGGCCACATGGTTATACAGATCCAGGCTACAATCCAAAGTTCAAACATTTTTTTTTAATTACACAATCAGATTGGTATCGTTTATTTATTAAATTATAGAAAACTATTACACACACGAGAATACATGCAAAGTACAAATTTTCTCAACCCAACTCACCTGTCTTTAGCCAAAGTCTCTAGATGTGATTTATAGGAGTGATATATTGTTTCCCTAAAGAATGGGATTAAGATTCCAAACTTCCGATAGGATCAAAACCTGCAGATCACCTCTACAGTCATGACCATAAATCCAAATTGTATCACTCCCTCTTATAGAAACTACGCAAGGGAAAAAGGAATAAAAAAGAAATTTTTTTAACAAAAAGAAAAGAAAAAAAGCCATTATCTATTCTAACTATCATTGAAAAAATTATTTCAGTGAATTTAAAATCCAAGCTTCTTATGGTTTTCCACTTCTTACCTTTTGTAACCAGTCAAACTGTTTAATTTCCATTAGAGTAGTTAATGTTCAAGAATGTTTAAGGACACTTTCAGGAAAGTATTTCTTGAAACTTTATGCTTGAAGACTTCTAATCAAAAAGAATTTTGGTTTTCTATTGTTGATTGCTCTCCCAAGCTATGTCTTCTGGAATTATTGCTTTACTCAACTGGTGAATAGTTTCAAGATCCCTTTCTCTAACCATTTTCAGGATAAATATTAGTATTTCAATTTGTTACCAGATTGAAATAGGATCTAGACCTTGTTACTACTTTCTGTTCTCAAGAAAGAATAGGAAAGAAAAAAAAAATAAAAGGATGTGAACAAAAAGGAATTGCACCTTTTCTACTCACAACTTCTACTTCACCTAATAATCCTATACTACTCTTTCAACCAAAAACTGTCCAACTCTTTTAGAAACCAATCACATCATTGGTTTGGTGTTGCGTGATTGAAAACATATGAGGAGTATGTGTCTTGTTTACTTTTTCTGAGGCTGACATGATCAACCAATCTGTGGCCTTGATTAATCATTTTTCAGGAGATCTGGTGTAACCAAAAATTCAGGGTCAAACTGAAGTAGACAAAATTCCCAGAAAAACTAGAAAAAAGGAAGCATACTTGAGAAAAAAAAAAGAGAGAAGCCAAAGAAATGATAGAAAGACTGGTGACTTCTTTGTTCTTGTTTTTCTGGATTCTTGAATCTTTTGAGAATCTTTGGAAAATGTTTTTTCTTGTTAGTTTTCTTTCTAGAAAGGTGTTCTTGCTGTAGATCTTTTAGATAGGTTTCTTGTATTTAGTTACCAAAATAAACAAGAAAAGTGTTTTGAAAAAAAAAAATAAAACAAGTGGTAACTTCTGCTTGCTCTGCTGGTTAGAGAACCAGTATTGTTAAGGAAAGTATATAGACTTTATTATCATAAAGACAAAAAGTCTTTTGAGAATGTCTGTTTTTTGGATTGGCAAAAGGGTCAGCTATTTGTTAATATTCTTTTTTCAATCTATATTTATTTAACAAACTATTTATTAATATCTAAAAAAAGACAATACATTGGATGAATAACCAAATACCAAATAGAATTAAAATAGGATAAGTGAAGAAGCTCAGACTATTTAACTAAATTCTTATTGACAAAATTCTTTTGTAATATATTTGTATTGCAATTTCTCCATTCAGTAACATTTTATATATGTGTTGCTAAATCTCTTGGTATAAACTATTCATTCATATTTTTTATACCACCAAAGTTATATTAATTATCCATATAGTTAGCTTTTTTTTTACAATAATAACAAGATACTAATGTTGAAATGTGTTTATATACTTTGCGTACTACAGGAATATCATATGAAATTAAAATTAAAACTATCCAAATTTTTTTTCTTCCTTATTTTTAGGGCTTTTAATGATACCACTTTGATACCACTTCAATACTAGTTCAATACTTAAATTTACTATAAAAACATATAAGTAGGTTATAACCTATATATTAAATTTACTATAGATCGGTACCATTTCAATACCAGTTTGATACCAGTTCAGTACTTTTTCAAAACCCTACTTATTTTTAACAGTTGATTCTAACATTATTCCTTATATTGTGGAAATAATAAGGATAGTAATGTGATATTATAGCATGTCGCATAATAATAGTAACATAGATAGTAGAATAATGTAATAATTGGTAATAGCATGTAATGAGATAAACATGCCCATAAGGCATATAAATAAATTAGTTTTAGGTAATTTGAAGGAGGAGACAGTCAGAGTTTCAAATTAGAGTTTAACTTGAAACTTTTAATTGAGAATTTTAGAATGCTCTTTATATTCTTTTGCTTTATTCAATAAATGTCACTACTTTGCATAATTATATTACATATTCCTTGAAGTATAAATTAAGTCTACACTATTATAGTAAAGTAATCTTTAAGAAAAAGAGATACAACATTACATTGTGTACTATAAGAGAGCAACACTTGTAATCTTGAGATATGCTTAGGGAAAGATGGTCAAAAAAGGAATTAGTCAATACACAAAAGTTGATCAAATCATAATTTGTCTCAGAGTTAAAGCCTAATCTTATTTAGTGCTAAAATCCAAGCATTTGTTTATTATCACATAAAGAGTGAATCATTTTAGTGACAGACTTGCTGGTGATAATAATGTTTGCTATAGTTGTATTATTTTGTCAACAATTAGTACAAGATAGTAATTTATTTTATGTAAGTTTGATTTACTGGAACCTGGTAATATGCCAAAAATCAGTATATTTTTATGCTTAAAGTATATATTACATGGCAAATTGGCAATAACTACATATATAACATCAGTACTATATGTTTTATTATTATATAGTTGAAATCAGTCAATATTCAATACTAATCCTAAATGCGAATTAGCTATTTCTTTACTAAAAAATAATCTAGAATTTTTATCTTTAAAAGTTTTTCAAATATTGTCATTATAAATATTATATAATAATTTATTAGTATTTGATTAATTCACTTAATGTCAAAAATTAAATTCAAAATCTGGTTTTAATATATTTGAAATAATTGCTATTGAATAGTTGCATAGGAAAAAATTAATTTTGGCCAGTTAATGTTTCATTTAATAATTTGAACTGTATAGATAATAAAGTATTGCAAATTCTTTTTTGAGTTGTTGAATTTAGAAATTTGATATAAATTCACTTTATTATTGATAGCTGATTGTTTTTTTGGAAACTTAGTATATTATCTTGTTTATATAAATTTGTGACATTTTTGACATGCTACAAAATTAACAAATTGATCCAATAATCTAAGTAATTTTTTGACCATATATAATGATTCACAAAAAAGTTTAAATTTGCTATTACTAATTTTAATTAATACCAACTTCATGAATTTTACAAGTGCTTTTATTACAGTATCTGACAAATTAAATCTTATTTTAAAGTTTATAATCCATAATAAAATCCATATAAAACAATTATTAACAAATTCATTAGAATATAGTAAAACTTTATAATCAGGAGCCATATAATTTTCAAATATGTCATCAAAAAT